GAACAGTTCGCTGCTTTCCCTGCAGGGATTTCAGTGCTGAGCATTTCTTTTAGAGCAGAGCGCAGTGCTGGAATTTTTTGTGTGACTGTGGGATGTTATGATGTTAGCACTTCCTCATTGTCTACCACATTTTCCCCTTCCATGCTCAGAATACACCATTGTTTTGAATACAGCTTGCAGAAGCTCTGCTGCTCTGCGTCACCGTCAGCCATGTGTTGGCTGTAACTTTTTGACACTTGTAAATGAGCGGTTCTGTTGAAAAGCCCTGGAAGGGAGTAGCAGCCCGCCCTCCAGAAACGTTCAGTCCTCCAAATCACCATCAATGGCTATTTAACTTCAGAGCACTGACATTTCGTGGGTGTGTTGTTTTGAAGGATAAAGTGCCAGACAGGAGCTTGAAGCCCATCCCTTCTGCCACCTGCAGTGCTGTCACACACAGCGGTGCCCCCCGACCCCACGGAGCAACGTCACCTTGTGCACTGATGAGCCAGAGGATGAATTGCCCCTGTGGGCAGCGGTCTCCCTGCACACAGTGACCGCTTTGTCAATCAGAAGTTGCAGTCTTTGCTTCTCTGGAGTTCCTTTAGTAATTGTAGTAATTCAGAGATGCTTTGAAGGTCTGTGCGGGGGGGTTCAGGATCAGCAGTCACAGGACGCAGTCGCTCGGGGCTTTGTGGTGTCACGGACAGACGGACAGCCCGTATTTCTGGCTGAGGTCACGCTGCTGCTCAGTGCCTTCAGGCCTCGGCCCCACGTTGTGCTGTGGGCTCTGATGCGCTTCGCTATGTATAGAAATGGCATTCTGCAAACATTGGCACGTGAGAATTGCTTAACTTTCCCAAAGCTTGGGAAATCTATGTGGGGAGATGTTTGTCAGACGCAGGGCTGGGCCCTGCTCCGCAGGCAGCAAGTAAAAATAATGTTACTGCTGCTAATAATGCTGCTGTCAGAGACGTAGGCTGCGTCGGGGAGGTGGATGCGGCCCTCCTGAGCCTCGCACAGCAGTGACTGCGGGTTGGCTGAGCGTGTCTGCCCGGCTGTGCGGTTTCTGTAGAGCAGAGCGGACAGACGGACATTCCGTCCCACTGCTCACCACGTGCTGCTCCACCTCCCTTCTCATCTCCAGCATAAACCTGAAATGAAACCTGAGAATGAAAGCCTTACACAGTGACAAGCACGGAAGAAACGTCGGCCATAATAATAGAGCAGAAAATAGCAATCAGGGCTCTCAGGTACAGCAGGGCGCTGATGCCGTTCCCAGGCCGGAGCGCGGCGCCGGCTGCTCCTCTCACTGCAGGTCGCTGTGCTGAGCCGTGCTGCAGGCTCCCATTGACCAACAGGGGCATTACAAACCATGGAAGATAAATCAACGCCACCTGTCACATGAGACCACTGTGACATTTCTGGCACGATCGCTGCCTCTTAATAGATGGAAGTGGGAAGCTGCAGCAGCTAGTGAATAATGGATTAGTTATGCTTGATTTGTAACATTTACAAAGAAAGGGTGTGTCTCCTAGCGACGGAACAAACTGCTTATCAAAGTGGGAACTGGGAGTTCTGTGCTATCCAAAAAGCAAAACATGAGATAAAGCAGCGTGGAGCACAGGGCTGTGGTCTGCTGAACGATGCTGTGCTGCTCCGAGGGGCTGCCCCTCCAACTCTGACCCTGGATTAGCAAAAAATATGTGCTAATTAATTAAAAAAAACCCACAAACTGCAGATGAGAACTGGCACAGCCAGTTGGTTGCCTGAGGCACAGTGTGCACACGACGTATTAGAGTGACGTGGCTGCTGATACAGAGCTGCACGCCTGGCAGCCGCGGGGCTCAGCGGGTGTGGGGTGGGGGCTGGAGCTCTGCGGGGCTGTGGGGCAGCCGTGGGGCTGGGATACGGGCTGGGCTGTGGGCTGCCATTGGAACGTGGTGACCTGGGGTTGGACCCAGCGAGAGAAATCTCGTTACTCTCTAGCTGAGGTTAGTGCTGAATTGAAAGAAAGAAGTTGCAAGGAATGGAAAGCACATCTGACGTTGTGTCTGCCCTGTGGCACCCGAACGTCAGCCAGGACAAAAGCTGAAATGGGCAGCGCTGCCATTTCCTGTGCTCCTCGTCCCCGGCGGCGTTGGAGCCGTGTGGCAGAGATGCCCTCTGCCATTTTCACCTCAAGCAAAGGTTGTATTTGCTCACGTAACAATGGAATTATCTGGAAGGATCTGTCAGTGTTTCCTGTTTCAGCAGCAGAAAGCTGAGGCTTCTGCCCTCAGAGCTCCCTCCTTTGGGAAGACAGCGCTCACGTATCGGATTTGGTGCGGACGGAAGGAAGGGTAAGAAAGGAATTCGGTCACTGCGACGTGAAATCTTTTATACTGGGAGATCTGGCAAAAGCTCTGCGTGACTCCAAACAGGATGAGATACATTTCCCAAGGCCGGCTGAGCTGTGCTCAGTGCTAGGCCTCGCTGAGCAGTCCGTTCTGGAACCTTCTGGCCGCGTCCTGCCAGCCGTGCTCACAGTGAGCCGTCGTTGGCTGCAGCAGAAACTCGTCCACATCCCCAAAGGACGGGAGGATGGACAACGTGTGCTGCACACCAGGCGACTTGTGAGCAGGGATGGACGTTTGGCTCAATAAAAATAAGGCAAGCTGTGCTTTATTCCAAGCAGAACCGTCTGCTCCCTGAGCTCCATGGGGCAGCTCTTCACCTCGCAATGAGAACCTGCTCCCAAGAAACCATAAAACATACATGGAGGGAACGGCTGACGCTTAAGAAGGGAGTTGTACTCGATAGAGCAGACTAATGGTTTCAGCAATGTTTCTTAAATTGGAAATGAGAGGAGGGCACAAAGTGCAGCTATTGGGAATAGAACCAGGAGCACAATGGTGCTGGGTTCCCTTCCTGGAGCCCACAGTGCTGGGTTACGTGATGGCAAAAGCACGATGGATACGGAGCAGCGACCGCCTGGGAAAGGTTGGACACCGATGTTCCTAATCAGTAATTAGAAACTAAAAATAGTATTTTAGTGAAAGAGAATAGAGCTGCAGCCTTTAATCCTCCCTTGCAAATCTGTAAGATGATATTATTATCACATGGAAAGCAACGAGAACGTGAGTAAGCAGAAGCAGGTTGCTATTACAGTCACATTCTGAATTCCACGCAGCTCTGGGGATGACGTGTGGCTCTTTCTGCTCTGTGCAAAGGCTCTGATGTGAGGCAGGCTGAGCTGCAGCACGGAGCGCGGTTTTGCTGCCCGTTCCCATCCCTTCTGCCCTCTGCAGCGTTCTGAAGTGAGCGGATTCTGAGTCTCCCACACTCCTGAGGGTCGTAAATAGAATCTGAGCAAATGCCAGCGAGAACAGAGCTGGGGGGGGCATTGATCCCACAGCAGCAGCTCTGACACCGCCGTCCTGCCGCAGCAATCGCAAAGGAAAGCAGCGCTGCTCACGCAGGGCCCTTCATCTCCACATTCCAGCGCTTTGCAAAGGGTTCGAAGCGGCGCTGCTGCCCAGCTGCCACAGCTGATCTCGTTTGCGTGCAGGTGACTTTGAACCAGGCCCTGTCCTCACCCCGTCCAACTGGGAAACATCACTGGGGGTCAGAGCGAGCTTCCCCAGAACAGCTGCGGGTTCACTGGCCGCTCCTCCCGCCATTCACAACTATGGGACACCCCGTGGCTCCCCTTTATACGGAGAAATGGCACAAATATTTTAAACGGTGCAACCCCTCTTTAATGGAACCCAGTGGCCGCACGGCGCTGGGCCGGGGCTGCCTGCTGCTCCACGGGGAGAGCTGTGCAGAGCCGATGGAGGGCAGAGGTTTGGTAGAACCTCTTTGCTAAGCGGGGCTGAATTAGAAAGGTTTTATTCCCGCAGTTCGCGTAGCTGCACGTCTTGCAGAAACGGGTGACAGCAAACGCCTGATAAAATTACTGCCAGTTGCCAGGAAACGTCCGGTAATGGCTTCGCACAACCGCGCAGCGAGGACGATTAAAGGAGGAGGGAAAAGGGCTCAAACGCCGCGGGATGCGGCCGGGCCGGGCTGTGCGCGGCTGCTCGGCGGCCAACAGAGCGGCACCGGCAGCGGACGGCACCGGGCCGCGCTCCGCTCCGCTCCGCCCGCAGCCGCCCCCGCCCTCAGCGCAGCGCCCCGGCCCGGCAGGTGGAAGCCGCCGCCGCCGCCGCCGCCGCGCTCCTCCCCGTCCCGTCCCGTCCCTCCCGGCTCCGCGCCGCCTCTTGCCGCCGCCCGCTCGCAGCTGACGGGGGCAGCCCCTTGTTTACTGGGCAGGAGGCGGCCGCCCGCCCGGCCTGCGCTGGAGGGGCCGAGAGCCGCGTCCCGAGCCGGGCCGGGCTCCGCGAAGGGACCGCGGCCGTTCCGCGGGGCGCTTCCCGACGATGCGAAGCCGAAGCCGGGCCCGGCCCCCGCGCCCGCCCCGCGGCCTCTGATTCGCCCCCGCCGGGACGCGCCGAGCGGCTGCAGCGACGGCCATGGGAGCGAGAGCGGCGGCGGCGGCGGTCGTGGCGGTGGCCGCGGTGTTGGCGGCCTGCGGCGGCCGCGCCGAGAGTGAGTGCGGGCGGGGCGGGGGGGCGGCGGGGCGCCGGGCTGCGGCCCCGCACCGCGGCGGGGAGAGGCGGCCCCGAGCGCTACCCTTTGAACCTCTGCGCGGCGGGGCCGGGCCGGGCCTCGCGGCGGGCGGTGCGGCCTCCGGCGCGGGGCGGCGGGGCTCGGAGCGCTCCCGCGGGGGGCGGAGATGGGGGGAGGTTCGGGTGACCTTCATCGCTCGGTTCGGCGCTTTCGGCCCCGGGCGGCGGGGAGGCGCGACGGCCTCCGTTCCGCGGCTGTTCGGCCGTTCGTTCGGCCGTTCGTTCGGCGCCGCAGCGGCCGGACCCGCGGGTCCGTTGGGGCCGCGCCGCGCCGATCCGCCCGGCCGGGCGTTGAGCAGCGCCGTGCGCGGGTCGCGGGTCGCGGTTCGGCTCGGGCCGATCCCGCCGAAGGAGCCGCGCGGTGGGGCGGCTCGTGCCGCCGGTCAGCGCTGAGGAAGGTGAACGCGTTCATTCGGAGGGAGGCGGGCAGGTGCCGCGCTGCCCCGCGGCCGCCCGTCGGCTTCCCCACCGCGAAAGGCGGCAGCGAGAGAACGGCTCCGGATCCGCCCGGCGCGGCGGCGGCACCTCCGGAACGTCGCCGCGCTGTGAGGACAAAGCACTGCATGCGGCGCTCGATGGCGGCCCGGCTTCACCCCGCCGTGCGCTTCGGAGCCCCGCGCCGTCCTGCGCGAGGGTTTGGCGTCGGAGCCCCGAAGGCCCGGGGTGCGCGGCTCCGGAGGGGCAGAGCGGCACGGCGATGGGCTGCTCGGGGAACAGCGCTGATGAGAAATACGTGCACGGCTGCTCCAGCCCCGCGATGTCTGAGCTGAAAGCGTTGGTATTGCTGCCGCACCGAAGCGCTGCTTGTTTGCTTATTTGAAAGCTAATTCTGCTTTCTATTGCAAGTGTAAGAAGTGAGCAGTTCGGGTGGTGTTTGCTGTGTTGCTCCACGGTAGGAAAGGAAAACGTGCCGTACAATTGGGGATGGATAACAGGAGCGACATAGGAGGTGCAGAAGCAAAACCTGGGCTGGAACGTGTATCGCTCACACGGCTCGAACACCGCGGCAGGGATCTCACAGCCTGTGCTGAGCTGAGCTCCAGCCCAAAGGCCCCGCGGTGGCTGCGCTGTGCCTGCGTGCAGCGGCTCCCACAGCGCCGGGTGGGTCGGGGGCTGCAGCGCGGGCTGTGTGAGCAACACGGTGTTCCCTGAGCGGTGCAGCTCATGGCGGCTGCGTTCTGGGCAGTGTCTCGCATTCAGCTCTGTGTGCCCCGTGATAACGCTGCTCCCCAGTGATGTATTCTCTGATAATTGAGCCTCACGGCAGCATTTCTCATGCCCCGTACCTTTCTCTCCCCTCTGCTTGTTCAGATGCCACCGTTGTTCCTTTTGGGTCTGCTCAGAGTTGAGCAAAGGCAGCGGATGGTGCTGGGGTTGTCCTCATAAACGGCAGCGCGGCTCCGTGCAGTGGCTCCCATTGGGCTGTGTCTGTGTGTCTGTGTGTCTGTGTGTCTGTGCGGGGCTCCCCTCAGCTGCTGGGGCTGCAGCGCACCTGGGGCTCCTCGTGTGTTCATGGGAAGCACAACCACTGCAGTCACTGCAGGCCGGGGAGCACTCCCTCCCCTTCTGAGTACGTCGTCGTGCTGCCCTGGGGATGCTCACCTATGGGTTCCCTGTGTTGGGTGCTGCCCCTGGGCTGTGGGTCCGTACCACACGTTGCTGAGTGCTTCTCAGAACTTGACACTGTTCGTATGTTAATGACAGAGGTGGAAAACCAAAGTTTGAAAACGAACGTCTCACTTGCAGGTTTTTTTTCTGTTCGTTGAGGCATGGCTGCAGCCTGTCCTGATGCTTTTTGGTCCATCACTTATCCCAGGGATCACCCAGGGGCCCTTTTCCCATTTCCTAGTGCTGCAGCAGGGCGTAGAGCTGCCGTGGTTTGGGCTCCATCAGCCACTGCAGTTTTTCTTAGGCAGTTCATTTCTTGAAGCAGGCAGTGAGAGCTATAAAACCTGCAGTTTCCCATTGGTTGTCTGAAATGGTTTGTGGGCTTCCCATGTCATCCTGTGCCATGCTGGCAGACCCTGGTGCAGACCCAGAGCAGCAGCAGTGGCTCACTGAGGTCCCAGGGTTTGGTCCCATTGCAGCCTTCTTCATGGGGGTTGTAATGAAACTTGTCTATCGCAGTGAATTGATTTGATTTTTTAAGTTACTTTGTTCTGAGTAACCAGAGATGGAGGAGCAGCTCCTCTCTGGCAGCAAAGCCAGTCCTTACTTCGCCTAAATCTGCTTCTCGTTGTCCTGGTAACAGCGAATGCTCGGCTGAGTGAGCAGCTGCACTGAGTGCTGCAGAGTGGGATTCAGGCCGGGGATGGGGCTGAGGGCCCTGCAGCAGAGAAGCAGATTTGGCTTCGCATGGTTATGGCTCCTTCTGCTGGGTCCTGGAGGTGTGACAGAGGAGTTTGGGTGCTGTGGGTGATGCTTAGCACCTAAAAACTAACCTGAGGTAGATAATGAAAAATATACCTGAAATGTGATTCTCTCTAAAGGTGGAAAAATCTCGGTAGAGCGTTTAAATCTTCATAGGTTGACCATCCCAGCACCTTTTATGCAATTGTTTCAGAGCAGACGCAGATGTGCTCTGGGTGCCGCGGGGGCCTCGATGTGGGCGGGGGTCTCAGTGCAGCGCTGAGCAGCTCTCCTTGGCGCTGCCATCGCGCGGCTCCGGGAGCAGCAGCGCAGGGATCTGCTATGAAGGAAGCTGGGGAGCAGCCCTTGTGCCTTCCCTGCTCCCGGTCTGCGTGGCTGGAAAGCAGTTTGTTCTCCTCGCGAAGGTCTGTGAAGCTCTTCCACTTGGCACCAGCTGAGCTGTGATTACGTTCCTCTTCCTCGAGTGAATGTCAGGAGCTCGTTAGAGGCTGTGGCAAAGTCAGTCACTTCTCAGCACAGGCAGATTGTTGGGTTCAGAATCGGAGACAAATGTGCTGATTTTGATTGCTACTAAAAAAAACCCCAGCCTCGTTGTGCTGATGAAATTTCGTCTAGATCTTTCCTTCTGCCCCTTCCAACCCAAACCATTCTGCCATTCCGTGATGCTCTGTGCGCCTCAACTTCTTCCAGAAAGCATTTCTGAGGCTGTGCTCAGTGTGCCAGCAGCCCCGGTGGGCAGTAAAATTGCTCTGAGTCCTATTGCAGCGCTGCCAGTTGTTTTTTTTTTATTGCAGTTGAGCAAAGTTTTAAACAGTCATTAAGACGTTTGCATAAAATGTATTTTTAACTCACACAGCAGTGGCCTTTAGTGCACCCATGGGGAGTGTGACATTCGGAGCTATCCAACATCTGCGTGTACCTTCATTTTATAAGGCTTGATGATTGCAAAGTGATTTCTCGGAGCTTAATTTTACAGTCAGTGGTCTGTATACACAGTGAGCAAAAAAGGTAAATATTCTGCTCTGTTAACTCTCAAGGGGAGGATGTGTGCACAGGGCAGTCCCAGCTGTGGGCAAAGAGAGTCCCTGCAGGGGGCACAGTCTTTGTATTTGGCTTTTGAAGTGTCATCGTTGGGGCACATTGCAGCCCTGCTCTGATTTCCCCACCTGTGCTCAGTGTCCCCTCTCCCCATCCCCGCTCCCTGGACGTTCAGGTCGCTGCCCGCCCTGCTCTGTTGCTCCCCGTCTCCTGGGGCGGCTGCTCCCGCTGAGCAGAGCTGGGCAGAGCAGGGAGATCTGCAAGCTTTAGAAAACATAACAAAGAAAGTCCCAGGGAAACACCTAATCTGAAAATAATGCCTTGGGCGAAGGCTGCTGGTGCAGTAAACCATTCCTGTCTGCTGGGCAGGAGTACAGCCTGTGTTCCTTCTCCTGTGTTTCCAGTCTCTTCCTTCTCTCCGAGTGCTGCTGTGTTCTCCCCATTATTCCTTTCCATCTTCCCCTCCCCGCCGCCATTCCCAGTGACCCCCCCAGCACTAATTGCACAATGCAGTGAGGTAGTTGTGTCGCTGGCAACTACCTAAAGAAAACAGACTGTGTTGCATGGACACCTCCACGTCGGTAAACGCTGAGTGACGTCCGAGGCCTGGCGCTGCCTTTCCAGTCGTGGTAGAGGTAATATCCACAAACTCAAGATGGCAGAAAGTTATGAAATCCCCATTCAGTCGTGTTTTGTAATCGTACACCGGGGAGTGTTCCCAGCTCTGTTTCTTAAGGCTCGAAGCGTGCTTTGTCGCACAGGACCCGTCCACGTAGTGTGAATGCAGCTGTATTTTATGATACAGTTGGAAAAATGGGTGCATTTAGCAGGCTAACAGTCACCTTTATAAGAACAAATAAACAGCATTGTTCTTGGCCTTCCAGTTTGCAGAAGCATGGACATCCGCAACAACCTGACCCGGCTGAGCTTGCTGGAGAACTGCACGGTGATTGAGGGCCACTTGCAAATCCTGCTGATGTTTAAAACCAAGCCTGAAGATTTCCGCGAGCTCAGCTTCCCCAAACTGACTATGATTACAGACTACTTGCTTCTGTTCCGTGTGTACGGCCTGGAAAGCTTAAAGGGCCTCTTCCCCAACCTCACGGTGATCCGAGGAACCCATCTGTTCTTTAACTACGCTCTGGTCATCTTTGAGATGGTTCACCTGAAGGAGATCGGCCTCTACAACCTGATGAACATCACGCGCGGCGCCGTGCGCATCGAGAAGAACAACGAGCTGTGCTACCTGTCCACCATCGACTGGTCGAGGATTTTGGACTCCGTCGAGGACAACTACATCATCGCCAACAAGGACGACAAGGAGGAGTGCGGAGATGTGTGTCCAGGAACCGTGAAAGGGAAAAGCAACTGCCCGCCCACCGTCATCAACGGCATCTTCATCGAGCGCTGCTGGACCCACGACCGCTGCCAGAGAGGTGGGTGAGCTGCTGTCCATCCGTGTGAATAATGCCCCCAGAGCGCCGTGTTTGGGCTCCCTGGAAAGTCAGAGCCTGCCCGGAGCTCCCAGCTGTGCTCTGCGGGTGTAGCTGTTGTCTGTGTAATAGTATTAGGAATTCTTTTGGGGTTGGCTATGGGATTAAAAGCCCGGGTTGATTGAAAGGCAGAAACGGAGCGGCACGGAAAGGTCTTGTGGAATAAAGCTGACTCGGGAAGGACGCAGTAACGTTTCTACTGAAACCTTCCTGCCATAAAAAGGTGTGAGATGGGTGGGTGGGTGAGCAGTGTTTGCACACAGCTGGGAGCTGGGAGCTGCTCGGGCTGGGAGAAGGGGAAGGGAGGGGAGGAAGGCCGGGTTTGGTGCCACGGAGATGTGTGCACAGCTGCCATCCCAGCCCCCAGGCTCCGCATCTCAGTGTCCTTAGGGTGGCTTTGAACTTCATACAGGTTTGTTTCTTCCAAACTTGAAGCTGACCTTAATTTTGGTTGTAATTATATGTTTGGTTTGACTTATGTTAAGTCCGTCCGACAAGAAGCAAAGTGAATTGAGTTAAAAGTGACACATTCAGAGCTGCCTGTCTCCTCAGTGGTGGTGCATCCAAATGAAGCAGTGTGTCCTAAGACGAAATTAGGAAACTTGCGGGCTGAGGAGAATTTCTTGCCAAGCTCTGAAGGGCAACTCCAAGCGCCGAGTGCCAGATTTCAGACGGAATTCCTAGCAGTATGCATAAACTAATGAAATTAATGTGGTTTCCCCTCTGCTACTCCTCACCCCAAATTGTCTCGCTTCCTTTTAAAGAAAGTGGTTATTTTTTATTGCTGGAATAACAGGCTTTGAGCAGGATCATGCGAAAGTCTGTGTGTGTCTCTTTTCTGAAAGGAAACACAAGGTTATAAAGCATTTTAGTTTGGAAGCTCTTCTGGTACACAGTGCTTATCAGCAGTGCACCTGGTTTGCTGTGCGTTCTGGTCTGTTTTCTCCAGTTTCCCAGGGTTAGAGGTCGAACTGAAGCAGTTCTCTGTGACTACAGCATCCATCATCCCTCACTCCTGTGAGTTTTGGGGCTGTGCTGCAGCAGACTGGAACGTGTGGCTTTTCTCCTTTATGTGACTGTTTATTTCCATGAAACCTGTAGGAATTTAATATGGCACGGTTCCGGGGCAGCAGGCGTTGCCCCGCGCTGTTACCGAAGGGAGCCGACCTGGTGCGTCCGAGTGGTTGGAATTTGAAATTGGGATTTGGGGGATTATTTCAGCAGTCACTCCGTGCCAATCCTCCAGTCGGTTTTCTGTGCTCCTTTTAGAAAGGGGCAGTGATGCCGCGGTGTCTTTTGGCTGTAATGGACGGACGTTTCCAAAGACACCTGAATGAGTTTCACGTGGCTTTGTTGTGGATGCTGCTTCGTGCCCTCAGTGCAGCTGGCGCTCACAAGGAGGTGGTGTCTGTGTCTGTGGCACCTGCCTTTGGCCTCACAACTTGTTGTAACTGTTTATGAGCACTTTTTCAGACTTTGTTTTGACTTCTTTTTTCACTGCCTTTAGACTTCCTGCGCTGACGCGCTGTGCTGTAGTAGCTATGGTAGAGGCTGTGGTATTCGTTTAGAGAATCTGTTGGTGGAATTGCTGCATTCCCTGTTCTTTGCCAGCCACAACGTATCCTTCGTGCATGTAATTGCTTTGTCACAGTTACTACGAGCTGGTGGCAATACAGCTTGGGCTTTCCTTTGCCTCAAGAGCTTTGCAGAGACGCTCAGGACTGAGGGCATCCATGTGATTGAGTCTCCCTCTGCACTCAGGCAGCTTATCTGGGGATCTCAGCACCGAATGCTGCAGCCCCAGCATCCCCTGGCCCTGCCCTCCCCTGCCCACCGTGTCCGTGTCCCCCTGCTGCTCCTCGTGCATCTTTGGCATTCCTTCCAGTTCCCATCTCCCATTTAACTCCAGCACCGACTGAGGCACAGCATGCAGTTATCTCAGAGCTGCTCCTGCAGCCCTTGGAATCGTGCTCTGCAGCCCAGCCGTGTTTCAGTTGGTGATAACACGCTGGAGGCAGCAGAGCGGAGGATCTCCTTGCAGACATGGGAGCTCGGCTGGCGCGTGGAGGAACTGAAATAATCTGTGGGCAGCTGTGTGCTCTGGGATGGCCGACTGGTGATCCTGGGGAATCTGGAAGGGGATGCACAGCACACACACATGGCAGCGTGCAGGCGTTGCTCAGGATGTGCTTCCCCAGAATTGTCCTTTCCTCTTTTCTGCATCATGTTGGTGTGAAAAACGAAAAGCGGTTCAGCTGAGGCCAACTCATGTTGTATTTTGGGTAGGAAGGGAGAGAAATATGCAGTCGGTTTGGAATTTGGGTCTAGCCTTGTGCTGCCTGTGGCAGCCAAGGGCTGTGTCTCTCCTGGAGGTTTTCTATCTTTTCAGGCCACGTTTCTATAAGCCTTTTTTATTTTTTAATGCATATGTACTTATTTTCATTGCTGTAGAAATTCAGCTCTTAGTTCAGCGCAGCGTCTTCACGCAGGGTGTCTCTGCTGAGGAATCCAGACAAGAAAAATGCTGGAAATGCCACGTCCCAGACCTCAGTTCAGATCTGCCAAACATGATTTTCATATTTTGCATTTTTTTTCTTTTCTTTTTTTTTTTTTCCCGATGCAATAAAAAGTCTATATGTCTGTTACTGCTCTCACGGAAGGAACAATTCCCACTGAAATGGATTTCCTGCCAGCTCTCAGTCCTCTCTGTCCGTGTGTAATTCGAAGCAGTCTGATGTTTTCAGCAGTCCCTGGTTCGACCTTCTCCTCATCTGCTGGGTCATCCAGAGGTGGAGGAAGGTAAGGGGAAGGAAAAGAGGAGCGGCCGAATAAGATGAGCAGGAAAAGGATCTGTAATGTCAGCCAGCCCCCGGTGAGCATCGCAGGGCTGCGCTCCTGGGATGGGAGAACAGATATCTGAAATACAGGGTGGGGTTCTTCCTGAGCAAGTGGTGACGTCCGAGGTCTCCCATTCATCCTGAGTGAAACCTCCATCAGTTTCTGCCATCTTTGTGATTCTGGGACTTCGTGCTACCAGGAATTGGAGCGTGGGCAATTTGGGGTTTGTATGTAGACTTTTCACGTGATCAAAATAAGAGTCATTAATTAATGCAATCAGGAATTTGTTAACCTCATTAAAAGGTGGTGGAAGGTACATGAAAGCAGCTGGAGAAGAGGGTAGAATAGAGCAGGTAGAATTGAGGCTGTTTTGGAGTACTTGGCTCGTAATGGAGCTGCTAAAGAGAGGCACTGTATGAAAATAATGATGCTTGTCTGGATTTTTTAATGATGTGTAAGCAGGTCTGGAGACGAAGGGTGCAGCCAGATCTCCCTTTCATTTTCCTGTGACCTATCCAGGAAAAATAATGGGGCAGGTGAGGGGCAGGTAGGGATCTGAAGGGTTGCTTTGCAGCCTGCTTTGTTTCCTGGTACAAACAGCACAACAAAGCACTCCGAAAAACATTGCTCAGTCCAAAGTGTTTTTCAGCTGCTGAGAAACAGCACCGAGTGCCTTGCAAGGGACTGTGCCAAAAGAAATGCTGCAAATACGAACATCTTCAAGGCAGTTTTGAATAATAAAGTTCAGAGGTGTGTGTGGGAAACGTTTTGTGATGTTTACTTAGGTAGAAATATTACTTAGCAACAGTTTCCTGTAATTTTTATGTGCTGGGAATTTCTGTAGCCATAAGCTTTGCTTTATTACCTTTCTATGGGAAAGGGGTCTCAGAGCACTGAGCGGACTGAGCCAACCCCAAGGGCAAGATATTTTTAAAGCTTCACACACAAAGAAATGTTTCCAGTCGCTACCACACGAAGTGGAAGTGCTCTTTTATTTGCAGATCTGATAAGAACTGCCTTTTTTCTTCCCAGCTCTGACAAATGCCAGATGGAAGTTGACACCCGATAATCTCTCCGGGGCGTCAGTTCCCATCCTTGCCAGGCGACAGCACTGGAAGTGTGTGTAGTGCTGGGGCTGCTGTGATGCCTCCAAACGGCCACAAGACTTTCCTGGTGCTCGGTGGTGCAGCCCAGAACTGGGGGAACACCACCAAACCCAGCTGGGCTCCATGGAAGATGCCCGTGGTTGGGTTCTGTGGAGCAGAGGGGTTTTCTCTTGAGACTGGAGCAGCGTTGATCTGTGCTGGGCTGAGCTGCCCCCTTTCTTCTGTCCCCTCCACCCTTCCCCGCTCATGGAGGTGTTTAACCCCTTGTGTGCCATTGCTGACATGAGCAGCGTTTGGGGTTGGGCCAGCCCGCAGTGGTGGCTCAGTGTCATTGTGATTTCCAGGGCTGGCATGCAGAGAGTGCTCTGACAGAACACTTATTTTTCCCATTTGAAGTACACTTCCAAGTTACTGTGTTTGCTTAAACCAGGGAACTTGCTTTAGCCCTCATTAGGCAAAACGTGGAAGGCTGGCAGCACTTGGTGGGCAGGTTTGTTGGAAATGCTGCTGTCTGGGCATGGCAGTAGAGGCAGAGAATGAGAAAGAGCAAAAACCTGAGCAACAGGTTAACCAGTGTTAGCAGCACACGTGGGTGTCCTGCAGATGGTTCACCCCTGTGTGGGGCGAAGGGGATGGTTTCATCCAGAGGGGATCCCCAGGGCTGGGGGCACTGGGTGAGGTGAGCTCTGTGTGTCCCATGCGTGCCTCCACTCAGCCCTCCTCCTACAGGCAGAGCAGCAGTTCTTTATTTTAAATCTAAATCTCTCATTATGTGCTGAAAGGACGTCTTGTGGGAGGCACTGCAATGGCTGTGAGCCGGCTGGCTCCGTACAAAGAGGTGTATTCAGTGTGTGTGAGAAGAGCAACTGAAATCCGTCCCTTGGCAATGCTCTCTGAAGCATCTCTTTCTATCAGGAATTGTGTTTGACAGGGATTGCCACTGTAAATAAATCTTGTGTTAAAAAAACAACCTCATCATGCAAAAACACAGCCAGGCAG